ATTATTATTTTTAATAAGATGATTTGTTTGTTTGATGTCCAATGGATTGAAATGATTTAAGGTTTGATATTATTTTGTCATCTTAAAGAGATTGACTAATGGATTAGATATGTATATGATAGAAAAATATCTTAGTTTAAAAATGAGATATTTTTAGGTAATGGATTAAAGGTAATCTAGAATTATGGATTGATTTAAGATCTAAGATTGTGACAGAAGTAAGAGAAAAAGGGGTGATTAATGGAATATATATATTAAATTGATTAAGAATGTGGTTTTTTTTTAGAATGATAGATTTATTTGTAAGAAAATTATTATGTAATGTTGAGTTAATCTAATAAGATGATTTGTTTCTTTGATAACATGGATGTTATTAGTTATGAAAATTAACTGGATGAAATTTGAATATTATCGAATGGATTGAAATGACTTAAAGTCGGATTTTATTCTGTCAGCTTAAAGAGATTGATTGATAGATAGATTAGATACGTATAGGATAGATTAATATTTTATTTTAAATAAGGGATATTAGTGGAAGAAGAAATAAATAAGATTTATGATAAAATTAAGGAACTAGAACATATTTGGAAGGGATACCCAAACTGATAATGTTTGTACTTAAAGTTATTTTGATTATGGTAGTGTAAATTTATAAAGCTTTAAAAACAGGTTTAGGTTGAATAAATTTAAGCTAGAATTGGACTATTTTAAATAAAATATGTTACTTAAGGGAAAAAGAGAGGGAATAGTTGATGTATTGATTGACTTATGTATATATGTTTTGTTTTTCAATGTTTGACTACCCTAACACCACGGTGTGTCTTGAGTACTTTGTTTTAAAAATCAAAAAACCAATAAAACTTGTTTAAAAAAAAGAGTAAGTTTGCAGAATTAGCGGAAAGGATAAATTGTAGCAAAGTAGAGAAATATACCATAGAGCCTCCCCCTTCCCCTTCAAGAGAATGGCAGAACCCTCTGTAAGATAGAATAAAGAGATGAAATAGATTTCCCCCTCCCAGGAAAAAGAATGGGTTATGACACTTCTTCTTTTTCCACTGATTTCTCCAGAATAACTGTCTTACAAGTGAGTCAGCTCACATGATATGGCCCAAAAATGACAGTTTCTGTTTGGTAATCTTGACTTCAAATGACTTTTTGGGTAAGGTTTGATTTAAGACTTCTTTGTTATTTTTGCAGTCCATGGGTTGCATAATAATCACCTGCAGACCCAGAGTACAAAGGCATCTGCCCTTCTCCTATCTGCTTTTCAAAGTCCAAGTTTCGTAGTCATAAGTAGCAATTGGAAAAATTGTGTTAAATAATCTTCATTTGGTTGTGAGACTAATGTCATTACTTTTTCAGATCTTGTTCATGGCAGACATGCAGTTCTTCCAAGTGCTATGCCCCTTCTGATCTCAGGACTGCAATCACCACTTTGGTTGATTTTAGATCCGAGGAAGATGAATTCCTTTACAGGTAATCTGCAAGTTATGAGCATTCACTTAATGCTCAAAGTTATGTGATGAGCACCCCCTAGTGCTTACAAGTAAGTCCCAAAGTTACAAATATTGCAGCACCACGGTAGTTGTTCACCCTTACAAATGACCGCAGTGGCTCTGCAACATTCACCCTGGTTATTCCCTCCCTCCCCACCCCCGCCTGGGTCTCCCTAGGCACCAGGCCTTCAATACTCACCCTGTGAAAATCAAGATCCTTCACTTTATTGGCTGCTCCAGGCCTTTGGTGCATTTGCAGAGAATGGAGGCCTAAAGTAACACAAGATCATGTGAGATCAGTGGGGCAAGATCTCACTCTACTGATCTCATGTGATCTCATGGTACTTTAGGCCTCTGTTTTTGCAACAGAGAACAGAACCGAAGCTGGGGGACGCTTCTATGTGTCTCCAGAAGCTAGATCTGGGCTCTGGAGGTCTTTTCCAGGCTTCTGCAGCCCAGATCTAAGGCCTGGGGAAGCTTTTATGCTCCCTCGTGGCCCAATCTGGGCTCCGGAGGCCTTTTCCAGACCTGATCTGGCCCCGGGGGGGGGGTGCAGAAGCGTTCACCAGCCTCAGATCCGGGCCACATCACCCTGGAAAAGGCCTCCGGAGCCTGGATCGGGCTGCGCGGGATGTGCTGAAGTGTTCCCCAGCCTCATATCCAGGTGGCAGTAGGAACCGTTGCAGAGAGGAGGTGGATCTTTTCCAGGTGAGTCCGGTGCGACAGGAAGGAAGGGGGCAGCATGCGGTACCATAGTGGGTTGGGGAGACCTTGGGGGCCTGTTCCAGCACTAGGCCCTCCATGGCCTTACCCACCCTGAGATACCTGTATTGTTTCAATAGTTCCATTGTCAATCTGCACTGACCTTTGTTTTCTGCAGTTGTCATTATCTTTGGGTTTTTTGATGTTAAGGTGCAGTCTAAATTTTTCACTTCCATCTTTAACTCAGGATTAGCCATTCTAAATCCTCTTGCTTCCACAAACAATGCTGTATCATCTGCACATTGGAGGTTGTTGATATTCCTACCACCTATTTTACCTCATTGGTAGATTCCTCCAAATGTGCATTTCTCATAACTATTTCTGTGTACATGTTGAATAGTATAGGTGACAGGATGCAACCTTGTTGAGTGCCTTTTCCAATTCTGAACCATTTTGTGTCTCTATATATCATACTTACAGTGGCTGCCTGATCAGAGTACAATGACTGAATGAGCTGGATGTGGTGTGCTGATATTCCAGTTATGTGAGGCAGTTCCAGAGTTTGTCATGGTCCACATAGTGAAAGCTTGTTGTGTAGTCAATGAAGCACATGTGGAGGTCTTTTTAGTATTCCTTTGCTTTTTCTATCATGCAACATAAATTGGCAATATGATCATATGTTCTTCTTCCTTTCTGAAATCCTGCTTATACATCAGGCAGTTCTCTGTTGGCAGTTGGATTCAAATGTTGCTGGATTATTTTCAAGAGAATTTTACTCACATGTGGTATCAAGGCTATGGTTCAGTGTTTGGAACAGTTTTTCATATCACCTTTCCTTGTGATAAATATTGAACTTTTCCATTCTTTTGGCCTCTTACCAGACTTCCATACACTTTGACAAAGTGTTGTCAGTGCTTCTGTTGGCAGCAACTCTGCAGGAATTCTATCAGCTCTTCGGGCTTTGTAGTTAGGAAACTCATTGAGTGCCCACACTATTTCCTTCTTCAGGATATCTGGTTCTATTTCTGGTACATCAGCTTCTCCTCTTACGGCTTGGCCTTGTTTTTCATTTGGGTAAAATTGTTCTTCATATTTCTGCCATCTTTTTCTGATTGTTTGTTGGTCATGCAATTCCTTCACATCATGCCTCTGATCATAGCCTTTCTTGTCATAAAGGGGTTTCTGGCCTTTTTCACATAAGTGTAACACTCTCTTGTATGACCTCTCATGACTGCTTCCTCCAGTTTCTTACATTGCTCAGCCAGTACTTTTCTTTATCTTTTCTTGCCTCTTTCTGGAACTTTGTATTTAATTTTTACATTTCTTCTTTGTCACTAATGTTTTTGCTTCCCTTCTGTCTTCTGCAGTTTCTATTGTAGCTTCTGATATCCATATGGCCAATTTCTTTGGTTTCTTGTATGTAATATGTTCTTGGGCTACTTTAGTGACAATAGTTTTTATTTACTCCCATAGCTCATCTGGTTGTCTTTCTGTGACCTTGAGCAGTGCAAATCTGTTCTTAACTTCAACTGCTAGGGGAATCTTCTTGATGTCAAATTTCTGAATCATGTGTGGTCATTTGACACTGCAGCACCTGAACTTTACTTTGGCAGTTAACACATTACATGAGAATAAAAGTGGATATATCAGAACTGCAGAAACAAATCAGTCTAGACCCAATAGGAAATAGCCATATGTTAAACCAGGGGTCTTCAGACTTGGCCTTTTCATGACTTGTGGACTTCAACTCCCAGAATTCCTCAGACAGGCAGGCTGGCTGAGGAATTATGGGAGTTGGAAGTCCACAAGTCATAAAAGGGCCAAGTTTGAAGACCCCTGTGTTAAACTATACTATATGAAGGACATACAAGAAAAAAAATGAGTAAATTTTTTATACTGGCAAAGAGATGATATGGTGGTAAATGCCACATTTATCAAACCATTTTTCTGGGACTATTTCCTCGGGTAGAGAGAAGGATTGGGTATCAGAGCATGAAATAATGCATAATCTGATCAATCACAATATAAAAATTAGTGCACGGAGCTAATGAGAGAGAGGGATGATAGATACATCATCCCACCCATCAAGTTGTTTCCTTTATGCAGCATAAAGGACAGATCACCTGATGCTTTACTTTCCTTCTCTATGCTGCTGCTGTTATATACATAAATGGGTTAAAGCTGGAACAAGCAAAGAGCCTCTCTTTGGGATTATCCTTGCTAATCATCTCCAGTATTGCTTCAGAGACACTAGAAACCTGTGTGCCTTTTGATAAACATAGATAATGTAGATTGTTGATTTTTCTTTTTGGTGCCTTCAAATTGGTGTTGGCTTCTAGAGATTTGTTGAATTGTCGCTGCAGTTTTCTTGGCAAGATTTTGGAAATAGTTTGCTCTTGCCTTCTTCCTAGGGCAGAGAATAACTGGCCCAAAGCCACCCAACTGGTTTTGTACCCAAGGTGGGACTAGAATTCACAGTCTCTGGTTTGTAAACTGGTGTCTGAACCACTACAGCAAACAGGTTCTCTTAAATTGTTGCTATTAACTCTTGCCTATTTTTCTCTTGCCTATTGTCCTTGCTTTTGCCTACTTTTTGTCCCATGTTAACAAATGAAATGTTTTTTTATCTTTGATGATAATTAATAAATAAGCATCAAGCTATATTTTTTGGGCTAGCTGAACTGTGTAACATGGTCTCTGCTTTGTGCTCTAATCTGGATACATGAATTGGCTGGAAGGCTGCTGGGTGCAAACTAAATCCAATAATTTTCCAACAGTAGCATTGTCCAAGAAATAATTTACCTAGTGCAACTCTTGCAGCAGATGCATCATAGTTGATCCAGAAGGATACCCAAGACAGAATTGTAATTAGAGTAGAAGGCATGTAGGTTTGCAGAATGAAATAGCCGATATTTCTTTTCAGTCGAAAACTCAGGGACAGACGGGGGTAAGCCCCTATTTAAAAAAAAATGAAATGAAGTCATGTTTCAAATGTATTTGTTTTCTGCTAATGTTCCAGTATATCTTTGCAGCTGCTTGGTGCTTACCTGTTGCAAACACTACTCTTTTTGAGATCATTTTGTAATCAATAATCGAGAACTGAGGGAGCTCGATTTTATTAACTCCGCTAACAGCAGATTCCCCTCCATTCCAGTAGAATTCAATATCATCAGTTGTGTATCCATCTGCAGTTGGAGACATATAAGTAAGTATGTTAATTTGTCAGCTAAATGTTTTACAGTTAAAATTTCTTTCTAAATAAAATTGTAAAGAAGACATAAGATTAGGAGACGTAATTTAAATTATAACATTGTAAATATTTCACAGCTGTGTAGCAATAAATCCAGCCTACATCATATCTTTTTTGAACAAGCTACTTTTGTTCCATTTAATACTGCATATTAAATTGATATCCCTTTTTATGATACTTATTAAATTCTTGTTTTAAAAAGCAGAGAGTCAAAGTTAAAAGATTTTAGAGAAATTTGTCCATTTTTCTATCAAATGCATCATAGAACTGCCAAATATTATAAAATTTAATGATGAATAGAATAGAATAGAATAGAATAGAATAGAATAGAATAGAATAGAATAGAATAGAATAGAGCTGGAAGGGACCTTGGAGGTCTTCTAGTCCAGCCTCCTGCTCAAGCAGGAGAACCTATATCATCTCAGACAAGTAATTGTCTAGCCTCTTTTTAAAAATCTCCAGTGATGGAGCGCCCACGATTTCTGGAGGCAAGGTATTCCACTGGTTGATTGTCCTCACTATCAGGAAGTTTCTCCTTAATTCCAGGTTGCTTTTCTCTTTGATCAGTTTCCAACCATTGTTTCTTTTTCCCTCCCTCTGGTGCTCTGGTGAACAAGGTGGCCCCCTCTTCCTTGTGGCAGCCCCTCAGATACTGGAATACTGCTATCATGTCTCCCCTATTTCTTCTTTTCTTTAGACTAGCTAAACCCAAGTCCCACAGCCATTCTTTGTATATTTTAGTCTCCAGGCCTTTGATGATCTTAGTTGCTCTTCTCTGAATTTTTTCCAAACTCTCATGATCTTTTTGTGATATGGTGACCAAAGTTAGCTGCAGTATTCCAGGTGTAGTCTTACTAGGGTTTTATAAGTGGTGATAATACCTTGTGTGATCTGGGTCTGTTTTTTTTTCCTTTCTTGAAGATGGGGACCACATCAGTCTTTTTCCAATCCTCAGATACTTCCCCTGTGCTCCAGGATTTTTGAAAGTTGTGGTGTTTTGGTTCTGAGATAACATCTGCCAGCTTCTTCAGAACTCTGGGATGTAATCTGTCGGGTCCCGGTGATTTATATTTGTCAAGATTGGTGTTCTCTTACCATTTTCTTGCTTATTTTAATTTTTGTTTCTAATTTGTCTTTTGCAGTGGTTTTTTTGGTGTGCTAGGCTATGGTTTCTTTTTGTGTGAAGACTGATATAAAGTATGAGTTAAGTAGCTCTGCTTTCTCCCTCTTGCCTGCTATTTCCTTACCATCTTCTCTCTTTGGTGGGCCTATAGTTTCTTTGACTTTTTTCTTGTTAATATGTTGGAAGAAACACTTTTTATTGTGCATGATTTCTGTTGCAAGTCTCTGTTCTTTCTGAGTCTTTGCTTTCTTGACTTCATCTTTGCATGTTCTGGCTGGCTGCTGATAATCAGCCTTAATTATATGCCACTCTTTTCATTTTTTGTATTTGTCCTTTTTGTCTTTCAGTTTGTCAGAGAGACTTTTTTTAAGGACCCTCTTCAAAACCTCTTCCCAGGAAAGCAGAACTCTTGGAACAGATTCATCCCAAAAGGAACTTTTATTAGGAGAAGTTGACAGCAGGCATAGAAAGCAGGATCTGAGGGTTTCCCACTCAAATCAATAAGTTAAAGGAGCAAAAAGCAAACCCTATCCCAACAGTTCATCCAGTCAGTTCAAACGGGCCAATCCCCAGGTGTTAGATCTGCTGTGGGAATGAGGCTGATAAGACTCCATTCCCAAGGTTGTGAAAATGTTGTTGGGTCTTTGCACCTTCCCTTCCACAGTGAGAGATAAGCCAGATGTCTGGAAGTACGTTCCTTTCTCACCCCAGGTTGGCATCAAGGGGCGAATAGTTCAAAGAGCAAGCAGATAGAGGAAGCAAAGAGGATACATTGTAGTAGCTAAGCGAAAGGCCAATAGACATACAATTCCCCAAAAGCCTCCCCCTCCCCCAGGAGTATTGCGGATTCCATAGAACGGAAAAGAGAAGGAAATGAATAAAAAGCCCCCCACCAAAGAAATGGGTTCTGACATGCCGTCCCTCTTAAAAGAAAGAGAGATCCACCTGTAAAAGACAAAAAAGGAGATAAAAAGAGGGATTAGTCTGGTTTGTCAGGGTACATAGCATGGAATTTACTAAGTAGTGTAGGGGCTCTAATATGGCATTTAAGGACCCATTCATTCTGGGATGGAGACAAATGCTTCCAAACAACTAAATATTGAGTGGATCCATGATGTTTCCTAGAGTCTAAAATGTCTTTAATTTTAAAATGCTGCTCCCCTTCTACCATGATTGGAGGGGAAGGAGGGGCTGTAGCTAGCCTTAAAGATGAGTTCAGTTCATGCTTTAAAAGGCTGATGTGAAATACTGGGTGAACCTGTCCGAATGTCTTAGGGAGCTCTAGTTCAACTGTTACTGGATTAATTATTCTTTTAATGGGAAAATGTCCTACAAAGTTTAGTCCTAGTTTCTTAGAGGGTTGTAGGGACCTCAAATATTTTGTAGACAAGTATACGTTATCTCTTACTTGAAATGGTTTGGGCTCAATTAGTTTTTTCTCTGCTTGGAATTTATATGCCTCCCTAGCCTCATCTAAAGCTTTCTTCCCAACTGGCCAGGTATTTTGGAGTTGTGCAATCCACTCTTTCAAAGAGGGGATAGTTGGTTTGGTGGAGGGTAGTTCAGGCATCAGATTAAAACTCTGCCCTGTCGCTACTTGGAACAAAGTGTAGCCTGTGCTGGAATGTATTGCATTGTTATAGTGACTTCTATGAATGGAAGCAGGTTGGTCCAGTTCTCTTGTTGGTAGTTTATAAAGTATCTTATGTACTGCTCCAATACTGAGTTCAAACATTCTGTCCCACCATTCATCTGAGGATGATGACTACATGACAGCCCCTAGGTGGTACCCAAAAGTTCTAGAAACGCGTTCCAAAACTCAGAGGTAAATTGCAGCCCTCTATCTGATATAATCCATTGTGGGGCTCCATGTAGTCAATAGATAGGTTGTACAAATAATTTTGCTAAAGTTTTTGCAGTGGGGATTTTCTGGCATGGAATAAAATGCACCTGCTTGAAAAATAAGTCTGTTACAACCCAAATCACTATATTTCTCCCGCTTTCTGGTAACTCCACAATAAAGTCCATAGAAATCTCCCTCCAGGGAGCTGATGGTATAGCTACAGTTCATAATAGTCCTGGGATTTTCTCCTGTCTCCTTTTGGCTGCTGCATATATTGAGCAACTAGCTACATAGCTTTCAATATCCTTTTTTATCGATGGCCACCAAAATTGCCATTTCACTAGATGGAGCATTTTCACAAACCCCAAATGTCCTGTGGACTTGGAATCATGGCAAAGCTGCATAAATATTAGTCTTTGGCTCTTTGAAATGTAGAGTTTCCCTCCCACCCATGGAAGTCCATCATTCATGGTGCACAACTTTTTGTGGCTTAGAAACCATTCATCTTTCTCTAGCACTTACCTGAATTCTACCCCAGCTTGGCTTAATAGGGTTTTTGGTGTTTTTGCTTGTGCTCGAGTGGTGACTGGTGCTGCTAATTGCTTTGATGGCATGAATGGATCTGTTATCTCTGATTTGTTGCTGTTGTAGTGTGGTAATTGTGACAGTGCGTCTGCTAGGACATTTTTCCTCCCGGTAGATGTTTTATGGTGTAATTGAACTGGTGGAAATGCTGGGACGATCTTGCCTGTTTGGGAGACAACTTTCTGGGTGTTTTTAGGGCTTCCAGGTTCTTGTAGTCAGTCCATACTTGGAAAGGGATTTTATTCCCTTCCAAGAAATGTTGCCAGGTTAAAAGAGCCCACTGGACGGCATAAGTTTCCTTTTCCCAAACCGCCCAGCTTTGTTCTGTTTCTGTGAGTTTTCTTGATATGTAAGCACAAGATTGTAATTTTTCTTCATTATTCTCCTGAAGCACAGCTGCTCCCACTGCTACGTCATTAGCATGCGCTTGAATTACAAAAGGTTTCTCAGTGTCTGGGTGTTTTAATACTGGTTTGGCTGAGAACCTTTTTAATTTCTCAAAAGCAGATTGGCATTCTACAGTCCATCTCAATGGTTGACTGGGCTTCAGTTTTCCCTCCCCTTTTGTCATTAACAAGTTTGTGATGGGCAACACAATTTGTGCAAAAGAGGGGATGAATTGATGGTAAAAGTTTGCAAATCTGAGGAAACTTTGCAATGGCCTCCTAGTGTGGGGTGGAGCACATTCTAGCACAGCCTGGACTTTTCCAGGGTCCATCTCTATGCCGTTTGATGAGATGCAATATCCAAGGTAATTGATTCTGTCTGTGCGGAACTCACAACACCCCCTTATAGAGGTATTCCTGGAGCAGCTCATTTATCAATTGCATAAATACTGCAGGTGGTCCCTAAAGTCCAAATGGCAGAACTCTGAATTGGAAACAACCTAAGGGGCAATTGAATGCTGTTTTCCATTCATCCCCTTTTTTGATTCTGATTCTGTAATATGCCTCTCTCAAGTCCACCTTTGAAAAAAAATCTTCCCTTTAGACCCGTGGTTCTTAACCTGGGCGATATCGCCCTCCAGGGGGCGATTTCATTTTTTAGGGGGGCGATGGAACAAAAAGGGGCGACGTGGGGGTGAAGGATCAAAAAGGGGGCGATATGGGGGTGATGGAGCGAGAAGTTTTGGGGACACTTTTGATACTTTTTCATACAGTGAATTGCTGTATATCTGTTGTAAAAAAACATCAGATCGCTCGCAATTAGTGGATTGAATTGTGTTTTCAAATGTTCCTCCAGCTAGCTTCAGTACAAAACGCCGTACATATGTAAATACGCATTGCTTATCTTCATGCACGTTGTGCAGCAGCCTCTACCCTTTTTATATTTCTTTTTGCGTCTTAAATTTCACTTGTAATTCAATCATTAAATGTTACTGTTTTTCTTTTCAGGCATTT